CCACTACTACTAGTAGTACGTGTCGACACACACACACACACACACACACACACACACACACACACACACACACACACACACACACACACACACACACACACACACACACACACACTTGTCTTGGATCATAATCAACTGCCAGCAGCTGTGACCAGGGACGTCCCTCCCTACAGGAAGATCACGCAGACTGCGTGGGGCCTCACCTCGCGAAAGGGGCCTCATCGTGCGGAGGGAGCCTCAACTGAGCCGCAAATGCGACGCACCTATGCACATTTCCACTGCAGCACGGTTTAATAGTGTGGCGCGGCACGGTTCCGCCGCTGCGAGGCTCCACTAGCACCCCAAACCCCCCGTCGACGCTCGCGAAACAGAGGGCCTCAGCATCTAACTTTGCGAGGGGCCTCAAGTTGGCCAGGGACGGCCCTGCGTGTGACCGGCGCAGCTTAACCTTCGCTTGACTGTGTGTGGTAACTCTCTGCTTTTCTAAATGTGTGTGTTTTCTGTGTGCTTGCAGGTGCCAGTTAAAGATGATATTGGGAAAGAGGTTGCTGATAATAAAGCAAGCTTTAAATCGTAAATATTTAATCAGTTGCGCCGTTAGAACTCTGGGCAGAAAGCTTATTTATTTGTAATATTTATAATTTTCTGCAGGTATTTGAACAAATCTACATGAATCAAACTGCATTTTTACATTTCCCAGAAGGACTTTTCCCTCAATGCATTCTTGTTTCTCTAGCATGCAGATGAGTCTGAGCTGCAGCTGCTTCAGGCTGCGTTAGCAAACGCTTCATCTGGAGCTGGCAGTGTTTCAGGTCAGCTCCACTCAACTGAGACTCACAGGAGACTTCGTGAGAAAACCGTTATGTAATTTCCCTCCAGCATGCTCTCAAAAAAGTGATTATTTAAAATACGGTATGCAGTATTTATTTTCCATATTATGGAAACATTCGCAAAAGCTTGTAGAATAAGGAAAATGTATTATTTTTAATTAATTTCTATCACTTTCCACTGACATAGAGCAGAGTGAATGCCTGGGTATCTATGAATAGATGTTTTTATACTGTAATGTTGTGTTACTTCTTTTGCTTTATATGTAATGTATTCAGTCGCAGAGCTTGCTCTCAATGGCCTTAGTTATGATGGTATATTTAATACATAGAATGTGTAGCTAGACGGGATAATAATTCAAAATAAAGTTGTAAAACTAAGTCTCTTTTCTTTTTTACTATTCCAATGATCCTCTGGTAAACACACCAGATAAAGCACAGAAGGAGAAAAAGCAATGGATTGTCATTAAGACGCTTCAACTACAGATTTTTCAGTGACAATCACTAAAGAAAAAAAAAGTATGACTGCAAAAACTGCTGATCAATATAATGCTTTGGACAGATAACAACAAAGCAATACAATCACAAACCACGTTCTGCCTCACCTGAACGTCGGTGCAGTTACGAGCTGTTGCTAAGGTCTTGGCGGCGATGACGTGTGACGTCCAGTGGAACAGCCAGTAGTCGATGGCGACCATGAGGGTGTGTTTGAGGAGCTGGAACAGGAGGAGCAGGGTGAGCAGGACGACCCCGGCGGAGGACAGGTAGGTGCCGCAGGAGCGCCAGGGGATGGTGGCGCGGTGACGCATCGCCTGGGACATGATGTCTTCATCGTCGCTCTCCTCCAAGGACTCCTCTGGGATCAAGACAGAGAAATGTTCAAATGTTTCAGAGTGGTGGTTCAGTGTGAATTATAGAGTTGTGTCGGATAACATTATCGCATTTTATAATACGTAATAAAAGCTATTGGTAGTTTACATATAAGACTATTTCTGCATTTACCTGTGGACTCCAGTGAGTACTGCTCAAACTGTTTAACTTTTCGGACATTCCTCCTCTTACCCTTCTTCCTAGAAGTATTATTATTGTCATTCTATCTATTTCTTTCCTGTTCTGTCACCTTTTCTGAGACATTTCTTCGTTGTTTCCCCTTGTATCTGTCTAAACAACAACTCCTAACCCAGAAAAGGAAACCAAATAGGACATATTCTACAGGCCACATCATCTAATATCATGTTTTCAACACCAAGTGTTTTTCAGGGGTAATGAAGCAGCCATGAATAGCTGGCTGGGGGTAATGACCTCCCGCCTCCTCCCTTCCCCTGATGTAAATATAAATCACATCACATCATGCAGAAAGGTCTGGAGCATGAGGCTGCTCCAGGGGGTCTAACAGGCTGTTAGAGAGGAAACCGGAGGGTAGCGGAGAAAAAGAAAGCGAGAAGATGACTGACTACTGTAACTACTATTATCTACTGTGCACCATGCTGGCATTATGTTAAACTTGAGGAGTTGGAGTGACAAATGATTGGGGAAAAAATGTGAAAAAGAAAATGATGAGATTCTAAGGGGGTGGGAGAAGCTGCGAGTTGCTTGCAGCGGCACGATGCCACAGACTTGTTTTACACTCCATGCTTTCTGGCCACACCTGTTCGCTCAAACATGAGGGCAGCAGCTTGTGCTGGAGACATCCCATAAGTCCACTCAGAAGTGCCATCAGCGCACGGGAGACAACTCAGAACACAAATAAAGAGTACAGCCACTGCAGCTGAGCAACTCCTCTGCACAGTTAACAGCCAAGATAAACAGTTAAAGGATTATAGTCGGTGTGAAGCACGAGGCTGTGAGAGAGAGAAGGTGCTGATATATCTGTTTGCTGAGAAAGTCAAAAAGACATGAGACACATAGACAAGAAGAGAGTCTGGAGCATTGTAAAGTTTGCATTTGGGATGGAATACATTGAGAACAGACAGTTATGCAGATCATTCAAATAAATGCAGCAGGACGTTCAAATGAAGCGGATGAGCTTTTAGAGTAAGAGGTGCTGCTCCTCGGCAAATAGACACAACAGGAGAAGAGAAATGATATTCTGCCTTTATTATGAAGCTGAAGTCGGTAAATGAATGACTGCAGTTGTATGTCAGGCATGCAGCTTTTTCCTGTAACCGCTCACCTTCCTCGTCCTCTTCAGTCCTGGCAGCATCTCTGGAGTACATGGCCCTCCTCAGGTTCTTCCTCTCCATATCTGTCATACTCGCTGCCTCTGTCTCCTGGAGGATAAATAAAGAGAAATACATGATTCTCCTGAGAATACTGAAGGGTCAAATCTGGTGAGAAAAGTCCTTCCCAGCAGCATGGGATTGTTTGCACCTCTCCAGAATCTAAAAGTGTTTTATCAACAAAAAAGCAAAGATTTAAAGTCACTAATGACTCACTAGCCCTTTAAATGTGCAATCATTAATCACCGACTCAAACTCCTGGTCCTTTCTGTTCATCAGGGTTTTCCACTGCTCAAAGAGGTCGGGCTGGGAGTTCTGGATGTCTTTCAGAGTCCCTTCAGCCTGGATAGTGCCATCCTTCATGGCAATGATCTAATCAAAACATACAGAAAGGTAGATAGCAGAGATGAAATCTTTAGTATGAGGACACATTGGAAATGAGGCTGCAAAAATCTGGGTTGTTTCTGACATAAACAATCTGCATCCCAAATGAAGTAATATAATGTTTACATCATGAATAATATAACACCATTACAAGGGAACAATCAATTACTGTAACTACTTGAGAGTAAAGAGTCTGTACACCTGCTGTTTATCCAGTTAAAGAGGCCCTATTATTGTTATTTGGGGTCTCCCTTGCCTGTAGTGTGTTATATCGGTCAGTTTCTTTGCCACACACTCCCCCCCACTTCAGTATAATAGTAGCATCATTATGTTACACTCGCGCTTCTGGGCGAGGGGCTCTGGTTTCAGACAGAGGGTGAAAAGATGTGCTGCATCACAGACAGGATGAGAAAAATAAAGACCTTTTTGAACATTAAAGCATGTAAATATGTCACATTAGAGGCATAAAATACAATGAATAAACCTGACAATTAGCATAAAAAGGCCCCATTAAATCCATAGCTGGCCATACCCAGTCTGCGTGTGGGAGATACTGAAGTTTGTGAGTGACCAACACCACCGTCCTGTTCTCCTCTCGAAGGAGCTTGAGGATGCCCTTCTGCATCAGATGGTCACTCAGGTGGATGTCTAAGGCAGAGAATGGGTCATCCTAAAAAAAAACATCATTACAAAGATTAAGAAATCACAATTTAAAAAACAACATTCAAAGTTAGAGTTTTGTGTGTGTTATTGCGTGGTTCCAGCTTTTGATAGGATTAACAGTTTTGTTCATTGTCATATATGAGTGTCACTTTATCATCTTAGAACTTTAGACTTTATTCAGACTAAACAAGAGAATGAACAACATCACTGTGGCATCCAAGAAATTGTGAATAGAATTTTCCTTACTTTTTCTAACATTTTATAGCCTAAATTATTAATTAAGAAATAATAATCCGTCTGAAACTGACATTATCTAACTGACATTTAAAAGTTTCATTAAGCTCCTCAGCCCTGCAGCTCAGCTTTAGAATGTGTTACCATGTGTGTCACGCATGAAGGCATCACTAAAAGACTCACATCAGAGTTCTTATTAAAGTTTCAAAAACGACATTTCGCTTTGAATACAGAATGTGTCTGCTACCAAGGTTGATTAAAGTGCAATCCAAGAACTAAAAACCTTCTTGTAAAGTGTGTGTGTGTGTGTGTGTGTGTGTGTGTGTGTGTGTGTGTGTGTGTGTGTGTGTGTGTGTGTGTGTGTGTGTGTGTGTGTGTGTGTGTGTGTGCGTGTGAAGACTCACCAGGAAGACCACGTTGGTCTGTTGGTACAAAGCTCTAGCTACGCTGATACGCTGTCTCTGTCCCCCTGACAGGATGATACCCTGCGCCACAGGGCAGACAACTTTATTACATGGTTTTACTAGAGAGAAGGATGAACATGATTACATCCATGAATGCATGTGGCATTTAGCCCCAGAGACAAAGGAGATCAAAGTTTATTTCCAGAATGAAGAAATCATGACGGTTCTTCGGCAGTACAAGGTCAGTCCAGCTCCCTCCATACAAAACATCCAGGCTGCACATTAATGATGACAAGTGATTCTGCAGTACAGTAAAGCACAGTGGGAGCATTGGGAACAAAAAGAACACAGACTATCCTAAATGTTACTGTGACACTGACCCGCTCCCCGATCTCTGTCAGCTCCCCCTGTGGAAGGATGTCAATGTCAGGCTGGAGGGAGCAGGCCTCGATCACAGCATTAAACCTGCCGGGCACAAACAGACAGAATACAAGTGAGGACAGCTGCTAATTCAAGCCAGAAGGAAACGATGGGTCTACTCATTATTAACCTAACAGCTAATAGCATTGACAGTAAATCAATATGAATAATTATCTTACATATAACTTGCAATTAGGTATGCTCAACACAACCAAAAAACCGTAGAAGGAGTTTAAGCTGCCTTTATTGATCCACATGAGAGATTCAGCGCTTGCGTCATCAGACTTTCTTCACCAGACACAGAATAAGAGGCAGATTCAAAAAGCGCAGTCACAATGGGAAAAAAAAGTTCATTGCTGCATCAATCAATAATTCATGTTTAGATTTAAATAAATCACATGTTGTTTAATAAATTGCATTTCATTTCTATATATTATCCTTATGAAATGATACCCACAAGATCTTTAAACTTACGGCGACAACATGACAGGTTGACAGCTTAGTGATTCAATAATAATGTGCCACAGCCCAGAGAAGGCAAATTATTCCTGTTTTAAGTAGTCTGCAAAATGTATCCCATTGCCGTAACCTGATGAATCTTTATGAGATTATTAATGTGCCCTCACCAGCTGAATATATATTTTGAATCCAAATCCAACAAATTACAAAATCTCCAGGAATAGATTTATGAATTCAGAGTCACATAATGGTTTTGTTTTGAATAAAGGAATCAGTCATATATTGCAGGACAACATGCCTACCAATGTATGGCACACATTAAGCCACAAGCCTGCAATGGAGATGGACAAGTTCATGAAACAATATTGTGTTAAAGCTGCAGTTGCTGATGTTCAGTTGGTTTATTGTGTGACTTGTTAATCATCTTTGTTCAGCGTATTAGCATGCCACAAACAGAACACCACTATTTAGATGATAGGTTAAGAAAAGGAATGTAAAATTGAAAGACAGTCAGACGCCCAGCCAATAACATGTTCACCCATAAAGGAAGAGTTGAGCCTTCCAAGCCAAAAATGATGAATCATGACAGGTGCAGATATTTCTTTTTTCAACTTTAACTTTTTTAAATGCGCGCTTGTAATGCAACATGATCGAAAGATTTGCAGTGTCACTCTTTAATATCTTTTTTTGGAAACACCTCGTGCTGAATCCCGTAAGTGATTTGGCTCCTCTGGATCCAACCAGAACATTAAGTGACAGAATGGGGGGGCGAGAGAGGAGTGTGAAGAGCAAGACAGAGGAGACAGCGAGGAGACAGCGAGGAGACAGCGAGGAGACAGCGAGGAGACAGTGAGGAGAAGCAGCGCAGGTTGGGCAAACATATCCCCAGCAACAAACCATAGCGACCCATTAGATGTAGTTTTTTAAAAAACAGTCCATTAGAGTCAGAGAGAGCCTGGCCATAAATCAGAGCAACTAACCTTTCAAAAAGATCATTTGTTGTAAGGATACAAACTGTGAGCGTGTGCGTCTTTGTTTGAATGTAAGTCATTACATGAGAGTGTGTTTGTTTTTGATTGTGCCCACGCAGGCGAAAACAGCATATGTTCTTGAGCCAGGAGGGAGTGAAACTGTGATGGACTCCAAGTGAAGAGACACAAAGACAAATCCTGGTTCGCACGGTCTGTGTGTCAAAACAGGTTAACTGGGAAGTCCCCAACTGGCATATTTTACTGGATTCACAGTGTTGACTTCAACAGACATCAACACATCCAATTTACCCCGGTGGCCTCAGGGAAAAAGAAGGTTATTGGCTCTAATTTGTCTTAACAGCATGGCCTGGCAACACATTGATTACCCTACTTTAATTACCAACTCATTTTAAAGGAGAATGACCTTAGACAGTTTGTTTAACTTTGATTAAGGTGCCACAGCGACTGTAATTAAGCAACAAAAGAAAGTTCAGTAATTATTGTGGGGATGACAGCTTACGCACAGTGGTTACTAATGCAAGAGTACATTCTGGAGAAAAGTTAACTTGGAGAGAGTCATCAAACAAAACTAAGGAAAAGAGATGAAAACAGGATGTTAGGAGGCAACCTTGACAAATCAACCCGATCAATTGTCGGATTTGTACACTTAAAAGTAATACAATCTTATTCAATAGCCAGGCAGGCCTTTAATAAAGATGATGATCTTTATGAGTTTCTTAAAGATGAGCTTGTCCATGATTTTATGGTGAGGTTGAATAAGTGTGTTGCATTGTGGGAGGAGCCTGCGACTGAAGCTTCTGTGCATTTGACAATAAAGCCTTTGAATGTTGAAGGCTACCGTTTTGAATGCTGTTAGACTAAGATGTTTTTCTGATTATAAGTCTACCACATTGATACTGAATGAATGAGAGTAAACTGAATAGAGCCAAAAGACCCCACTTTGAATCAGTTTGAACTGCAGTCTGTCCTCCACAGAAACATACAACAAAAGTTTTCTTTAGGAATCTGGTATTTCAGCTTGTAAGAAAATGTGCGTTTTGCACTTTCCTATAGCACCACATCAATGATGAATTAAATGTTTTGGTTGTGGCAGCAGCTGTGGAGAAGCTCAGCAGGTATAACTTTTTATACGGCTCAGGAGGTAGAGCGAGTTTCAACTAGTTAGAAGATTTGCTCGTCACAAATCCGAAGCAGAACTTCCTCCAGAAAGCATTTCCATCGGTGTGCGGGTGCATGAGGAGCATTAGATCCTGATCAGTAGTTTGATACCTTGTATGGCAGCACCGATGTCAGTATATTGAATGTGAATGGCTCAATGCTGACATAAATAAATACAAAGTCAGCTTAATAAATAATAAAAGTTCATTTATCATGCATTTTTCAAGAGTCTGGTTTGGTGCAGGGAAGTTTTCCTACCTAGGTTTGATCATGGGCATCTCGAAGGTGATGTTCTCCACCACGGTGGAATTCAACAGCCAGGGCTTCTGGGAGGCGTAGCCCACAGCGCCTCTCTTCCTACCAGAGGTTTTAAAACAAATGCAGAAGTTTCAAAGAATCAATAATCTGCTCTCAATCTTAACATTTTATATCGCATAATTTGTTTTGTTTAAGAAATTTAAGGAACTATTCAACCTCCGGACACAGGGACTCTTTAACAATGCCTAAAAAGAATAAAAAGAATACCTGATGAATAAAAAAAACGTCCTGGAGACTCATAGTGATGTGTTTGTAAAGTAATCTGAAGGTCATGGGTGAATATGTCAGCAGACGGAATATCTTATTCTATATTATCTTCTTCTGGATAAGCTTACAAATTGCTTTTCTGCTTCACTGATTACAGTGATGTGTCTCCATGGAAACGCCCTGATTTTAACTTGTTATTGTCTGAGCTCACCTGATTTCTCCGTCACCTGCAGCATCTCTTTCTGTGGGGCTGCAAAGGAAACACACACACACACACACACACACACACACACACACACACACACACACACACACACACACACACACACACACACACACACACACACACACACACACACACACACACACACATACACAAACGCCTTCTCTTCATTCCACACTAACATTGAAGGTAAAGTCGTGACAGTTTCATCATGATCTCTGTTTAGTGTATGCTTAGGGGAGTGATAAGGTCATAGCCCCGAGACCAAACATTTCAATAAGCATTAAACTAAAGTATATTTGTATGTAATTTAACTGAAATACCCCACACTGACAGCATCATGCAGCCTCTTTAATGTAGTCTCATCTGTTCTTGCCCAGCATGACACAGCTTTTATGGTCACTGCTGCTGGAGTCTATAAATAAAACCTCTCTGGTGGAGTTTAGAGGAATGTCCTCTTATCTACAGACCCTCAGCCCTACTCATGCTGCATGTGAGTGTTTCAGAGTGTGTCAGTTTGCCAGCTGGCCCTGTTTTTAGAGATGTTCTGTGTCTTTCTCTCTCTGCTATGAACCCTGATAGTGAGGTTTGTACCGGATGGCTCCGCTGAACAGGATGGGGTCTTGGAGGATGATGGAGAGGCGAGACCTGAGGGTCTGCAGCGGCAGCTTTGAGATGTCGATGTCATCGATCACAATCCTCCCTGTAATAGAACAAAAAATCACATTACACATAAATTACACTACAAAGAGCAGTGACATTTTGGATTTTTGACACTTTTGGATCCTGTAGTATTTTTTACTTTTTATTTTTAATTATCCAGCATATCAACACTGTTTTGTTTATATTTGATATAACATTTTTAAATTAAAATTTTAATTTTTTATTCTCTTTTCCACTTTTTAAATTATTTTAAGTATTGTATTTTAATGTCTGAACACACTTCTTTTTCTGTGATCTGTCTGTGTGTCTGTGTGTCTCTGTGTGTCTGTGTGTCTGTATCTCTTTTCTCTGACCTACCTTTCACTAAATTGAATTGAAGCATAAGATTTTACTGTACCCTCAAACATGTCCACCATGCGGAAGAAGGCTAAGGAGAAGGAGGATTTGCCGCTGCCTGTCCAGCCACAGATCCCCACCTGAAAACAAACACATCTTCACCATCACTGAAATTCAATCATTTATCATATTAACCTGGTGTTTGCATTTGAGTTCTTGTGGTTACTGAGTTTGGCTACCTTCTGTCCAGGGTTGATGTGTGCGTTGACATTTTTGAGTACAGGTTTCAGAGTGGCGTCGTATCGGACGCTCAGATTCTGGATCTGGATCTCTCCCTCCCCGGGCCAGCCGTCAGGAACCTGAGACGCAGCTGAGGCAAAAGCAAAGCACGTCACGATTTATTTATAGATGATGTTTAAATGAAATTAACAATTTGTTTTAATGCCAGGAAGTCACTAGCCTCTTTGAAAAAATCCCTTCAGAATCAAATTAAACATGAATGTAAGATTAGGCTATTTAAAGGCTGATAAGCGGGCATGATGATGATGATGATGATGATGATGATGATGATGATGATGATGATGATGATGACACCTTCTTTGGTTGACAATGATGAATGAAAATGTCCAGGCGTAAATCTCAGACAAGAAACCAGATATGATTTGTTTGTGAAGATGGCATTGTTAGTGTGTCGCTGCACTCACTGAGCAGTCCTTCATAACTCTCTGGTTCCGTTTTGAGCAGGCCGTTAATCCTGTTGACCGAGCCAAGCTGTACCTCCATGTCTGCCAGGTTACGCACCATCCAGTTCATGTAGTTGGAAACCTGAGATACAGAGGGAGGAGGAGGAGGAGGGTAAATGTTACTGTAAGCAGACATTAACCCAATTAGCTTTTTATTTTAGCAATTTGTCAAAGGGTCTAATGATTTAGGTAACATAAGATCAAACAGACCTTTTCAGTTCATCTATAGAATAGTAAATCCTCTTTTGGAGACACATTCACTTTGAATGGATAACAATCATGTATTGAGTAAGACCTACGTTTTATTAAAATCATGTATGTTGTAGCTTGTGTTTTTATAAAAGAAGAACTAGAGAGCAAATGTGTTTTGAATTCACTTATTATCATATAATCAAAAGCTGTTTTGTATTTTCTGCAGAAAGAACAAAAAAGTGAACAAGCAGCTAATTATGCATCTTGATCTTATCCTCCTTTTTAAAATCTCTTCATGTGTCTCCCCCAAGAAATAAAAAGAACAAGAAATGGTTAAACTGTTGCAAGTGATATTTTGAAGCTGTATGTTTTTTTTAATTAATAATCCATATAATCAGGGAATGTCTTCTCTATAACTAGAAAAAAACAAATTGTGAGTAAAGTTAAATAATATAGTTAACTAAGCTTAGGGCAGAACATAACACTTTATTTCAAATGGCAAGTTTGGGGAGGTTTGGCTAAAAACACCTGTATTATTCTTTAAAGGTGCAAGTTTACAATGTGCAAGTTTACAAGCTATAAAACCAACACACACACACACACACACACACACACACACACACACACACACACACACACACACACACACACACACACACACACACACACACACACACACACCATTAATTGGGCAATACAGTTGACTCTGAGAGGAACACATTATTGACTCCACCTTCATGCTGTAATGATTAACACAAAACAAACACTAACCCATATCCCCCCCTCCCCCTCTCCATGGCAATCATGTCACTGCCCTACATGAACACATCTATCATTAGCTGTGATCTTATCCTCCCTGAAAATAACGACCACCACCCACTCCAATTTTTTCTTCCTGTAATTTGCTGATATGGAATTCAGCGCCAGCCTGTTCTCAGAGGATCTGATTCCTCGGGCTGGGATAAGTGTGTCAACACAGCGCGGGGGGCCGGGGCTGGCTGTTGCTGTTGTTGGTGGTATCCTGCTCATCTAGTGTATGTGCTAGTGTATGTAGTCTCTGTCAGCAGCTACGTCTTCATTGGGTTAAATACTGAGGTAGATATTTGGGAGTTTCTTTTGTGTACATACATATATTATTTTACATTAAAAAGAAAACACCCTGACTTTATTACAGTAATATATGAACAGTGATCTAAACCATGACAATAATTATTTCAAGGAATGTGACATAGCGTGTTTAATATAATCAATCTTTAATTGACATAACAATATTTTGTTTAAATCTCACACTTTAACTTTCACTGTGCTCTGACTAGGAGTAAATATGTTTTTTATTTGTTTTACTTATTGTGTAATTAACAACGTGTGCATACTAAGCCGTTTTTTTCATTTTATCTGCACTATCTGCTGTTGTAATCATGTCAATTTCCCCTTTGCGGGTCAAATAAAGGATTTCTGATTCTGAAATGTGCTGCCCTACAGTAAACTGTCACTCACCACACAGTTCTGGTTTCTCTGGACACTCACACCCATAAAACATTATGCTATCAATAGACAGAGATCTTAAAGTTTCCTTTTTAGTCAGTGACAAGACAGCAGCTGTCAAATGCTCACTGACATACTTTTGCCAATTGTGGGGTGTTTATGTGTTTTTGTGTTTTTGTGTGTGTGTGTGTGTGTGTGTGTGTGTGTGTGTGTGTGCCTT